TCATTCGTCTGTTTTCAAATATTATATCATATCATAATCATATTACGTGGGTATTATAGATCGAGCTACGGTCCCGTTCCGTTAACACCGTCGACATTTCAGAGACATTTTAACGGTTTTCGCGCACCGGCAATTTACCCCGTGAGAAAATTCCTCCGGCGCAGCTGAAGCCCAATAGGACACGTCGTATAGATTACACGCATCAGTTGCGTATGACCATCGTAGTGATGCGTTCTTGTGTCCAGTCGACGATCCGTTGGCGCGTCGATCGGAAATCGGAATTCGCAGGGAAGACGCCGTCGTAAGTCGAGTAAGTACCTATAATAAGACCTGAGACCACCGCCTAACTATACCGAGGAACGCTTTACGTTGAAGTATAATATTATAATATTGTTATCATATTTTTCATATGACCGGGGATGTATTACCAATAATATTCTACCAGCGTAAAATAACTGCGTGACTATTATACCTACGTCAAGTCGAGTTTTTTTCTTCATCAAAATAATAAGATATCATCACACCCAATCAGTGTACCTAATGGTAATAGCTGGTATACATCGACGACGGTCACCGGCGCGGTGTCCGTTTTTTTTATTACGCGGAAAACGTGTAAGAACCGTAACCAATTTCACAAGACATATTAGTGAAAATGGCATTGTATGATTATCGCATCGCGAGCAGTTAATGTAATAATAATATCGTATTATCAAGCCATCAGGCGCGTTTAATAAATTGCTCGACAATCGGCGAGTTCTCTCTATAAGTATAATATTAATATAATAATAACATAATATCTATAGCAAGTACCTATTATATAGGTATACCTGACAACGCCAAAGAAAATGATTTATTTCTTATTTTAGTTTTTTACAAATCGAGCATATCGTTTAAGACGTGATGTCTTTTCTTAATACGGTCTCATGGATTATTGTTGTATAGTTTTTCATTCCTTTAAAGTGGGCTTTCTTTCAGTGCGCCGTTTATTCGTCAATAATGTATAACGGCGGCAGTACAATGGAAATATAAAAATATCTCATCATTGTGTAGGATTGACATAAAACCATTTATATCTCTGAATCTTTCCGTTGTTCGATTCCATCTATAACATTGTAATTTATTGTAAATGCACAAGAGTTTGTCATTAATTATCGATAATTTTGTTTAATTCAATAAAACTTGGCCGTGCGCATTATATATTGTATACAAAATACCTATCATATAAATGTGCCTAACCTATTCATTGAAATTCCTGTATGTTTTGAGAACTAACATTATAGGATTATATTATATCTAATATCTATATAGATTTTTATATAGATATATTAACCAATTTCAACCATAATTTTTAAAAATTCATAACCTTCATAAATCGGTAAATGCGTCGAGAATATATCTAAATAATATTATGATCTGATAAGAAATGTTCGAATTTAATATACCTTATATAATTTCTAGTTTTAATTATTCCAGTTTCTAATTTACGTACCTTATTATATACGTACCTATTTATAATTTAAAAAAAAAAAAAACATTATAAAACTAAACGTAATAGACATCTGTATATTCTTACTATTAGTCAATTATATTATAATATAATACTTTTCGCTCGCCAACCCACTCAATTTTGGTTTTACATTTCTCAAAAGTATCATCAAAAAAATGTATTTGTGTTAATAAACCAGAATTTTCTAGCCAGTCTGCAATGATTAGTGATTTTACTTATCCGTTTATAATATATAATATAAAATATTATTATATTAATATATTGTAGGTTCGTTCGCAATGCCCTTCCTACTCTAATATTCCATACATATATAATAATTTATACACACAATGTCATGCTCTTATCAACTACCCAGTGAACCACACATCAAATTATGTAATTTTAAAAGTTCATCAGTCATCACGCATGTTTTCTATATTTAATATCTAATGGCTAATATTATCTGTATAAGTCATAATTACACAGTAGAAATTACTAATGTAGTTTTTTGAATACTAATGTATAGTAATGTCAAACTTGTTCTACACAAATCAGTAAAGTCATATCCATGTTCCTATATTATTATATGTAGGAACACATAGAACTATAGAAATATAGATCTACATAAATATATTTTTTTAAATTGCAGTTTGGATCTTGGATACATTTTTTGAATAAATGTTAGTAAATAATACCTCCAAGTAAAGTGGAATTGTCTGAACTTATTTTCAATTTATTTAAAAAAGTTATTTAAACATAGAATACGAGTTATAGGTATAGAGGCGTATTCTAGGTATAAAGATTACGTGGGATCGTCAGCCGTCGGCTTTCATCGATAACTACGATAACATAAATAATAATTTTGACTGTCGACTGTGTTTGGCATGAAAGTCTTGTTTTATTAGTTCAGTCAATTCGATTTTGCAGCGCGTTGTGTATGTATGTGTATCGAATTCGATAATTATTAGTTTGAAATCTAAATTGAAATTTGTTTTGTACTTATTCTTGATATAATATTAGTGGTAATTGTTTGTAAGGAAAATAGTAAAATTGGTAAGCCCCCCAAACAAAAATCGTGAGGGCGAGCCTGGAAACTATAATATATTGTTGGCATTTTTATTTTTATATTACACTTAGTACCTAGTCAGGCCCTAGGGAGTGGTACTGTTGGCTGTGTACCCTGAACAATTTTTAGTTTTACTATTTATAAATTAATTTACGTAAATATTCACTTTAATCTTATTCATTAGTCATTTTCTATTCATTAAATAAAATAAAAATAAAAATGTAGGTACTTTGATAATAATAAACTAATACATAGGTTGTCATCAGTGGCGCCGAAGTCCAACATTTTACCTATGACATTAGACACAACCGCATAAAATGTTGACACCCAACTATTTCTTATAATTCCCTTACCGTACACCAAGTATAGTTTTTATGTTGTCCATTAAACAAATTTTCATAAAATAACTATAGAATGACAAAGGTGACAACTTACCTACTAAAATCACGCATGACAATTGTCATAGGTAAATATATATATATTTTGGCGCCACTGGTTGTCATAATACATTGCATTTATATAACCTAATAACCTACCTCTCAACGGTTTAAGAGCTTTATTGAGACTCAAACTCAATAACCAACTCAATTAGTTTTCTTAATTAATACATTATGTTGGCAATGATGGTTTAGACTTAGTACAAATTTTTTTTGTTTCGATGCAAAACTAACATGATATTATTATCTAGTTTTAACATAAAGTATAACATTACTGTATAATTATTGAGTATAAACAATAATAATATACAGTAGGTAATATAATAGTTACCAATTATTTAATCAATTAAAATAACGACAAACTTCTATAAAGGTATTTATTTTTTACAAAAAAATGAATTGATTTATATTTATACTTTTATCTATTTTTTTTAAATTAAAGTTATATAGATATAACTGTCACATAATACAATGTTTTCTATAAGAATAAATAGTACCTACACAAATTGTAAATATTTTATATTTTATCAATGTCTAAATCTAAAATAATAATTGTTTAGTAGGATAGAATTTATAATAAGTATAGTGTAACAGTATACAATTAAAAATAAATAGGTACTAATATTATTGAATAAATAATAAGTTATTAGCTATAAGTAAATAAACTACGATTTAATTTATGGTTAATAATCAATGTTATAACTTAAACATTCATTATTACTTCCCGATATTCATAAAGTGAATTACCTATATGAAATTCATATAAAAATAATTTAATACCTATGTATAATATTATAATAAACATAATATTTATATTTTTTTCATCAAACTTTCTTTAATATTAGTTTTGATAATCTTATAATATTGGACTTAATTTATAAGATTTTTTGTTAGTTGGAGAATGATAGACGTATCATATTATGGGAATGTTGTAAGATTTAAATAAAGGAACATTAGATGTGTACGTTGTGATGATAATTTGAATCAGTGTACGATGAGATGAGGAATTCACAGATCACGGTGATGTTGTGGAGTGTGCAGAAGGGGGAGTCAAATCAATATATTTATATTCTTAAATCCGAAATTATACTTATCTTATTCCAATAAGATTCTAGTATAGAAGTTGGCCACTTTTTTCCACTTTTTAGAAAACCATATTTATTTTTCAATTTGAATATTAAATAATTTATAATGTTAATAATATTGAATTCAAACACACATTAACACACTAATGATCTCTTAATACACATACTAAACCCACTCCCACTCACACTTATATAATTGCCTATATTTAACTCCTTAAAAACTGTTGACATCAACTCCCCTTAAATTTTTATAATATCTTCTTGGTTTTTCAAAAACTTTATTTCAGATATATAAAACTAAAACGATATTTTTCCTTATAGGGTCTAGAGTGAAGCTTCATCGCCGACTCTTTACGCACCCACCAACGAATATTATTTCCTGATTATTACCGTACATATCTATTGACTATTGTGAACTCTTAGACATTTTATTTTCTAATTTAAAGAATCAACTCTTTTATCCCGATATGATACAAAATATTTTCTCAAAAAAATCATTACTTTCTTTTTCATAAATAGTGAAATATCTAATGTTAGGCTAATATATTATAAAAGGTACCTATCCTAAAACTTAAGACTTTGTAAGTACCTAATATATTTTAAGAATTATATTATTGTTAAAAGATATAATTACAATTTACAATTGTATTCAATATTATTTAGTGTTTTATAATTTGTATAGCTATGTTAACATGCAGCAAACTATTGTTATATTATAATATAAATGACCACATGTATTAGTATATTATAGTTGTGCATAATATAATTTTAATTATTTTATTTCAGAATATTTTGATATCAAGGCGTTCATAAGTTTTACGTAATTCGTCTTATCAATCATTAGACATTTTGTGGGACATACGATCAAAGTAGTGAACTAAACAGTTACTTAAATAGTGAACTTCAATAAGCAATAAACAAAAAAAATGGCCAACTCTACGTCGGTGACCAAGTGCACTGATTTTTCGGTGTCCAGCCTCTGCCGAGACATGAAAACTTCACCTCCTGATCCAGCAATCGTGGTCGGTGGAACTGGTACTAATATGAAATTGACACTGCCTCTTGCAGCTTGCGCACCGTTTTCGTCTAATATTAATGGACCAACAGGTAAGTCTTAAATGGTCTTCCTTACTTTGTATATCCAAGCTTAGTTAAGTAAAAAAAAATACATTTTGTATAGAAAAAATGTTTAATTTTAATAAACACCCATAAGCAATAAAATAAAAGACTTATAACAGAATTTTACTGAAAATGTATATAAATTATAATAATATATTATACACTCAATATAGTACCTACTCTTATAGTATAGGTGTTAGTCTTAATAAGCTTAATAAAATATTAAATGTAGGTATAGGTTTTCATTTATATAAAGTAAAAACCTAATTTAACTTGAATGTAATAATTAATATTTAGTAGGTAGGTAGCCACGTAGGTAGCTTAAACTCCTATTAATTCTAAAAATAATTCTCATACATTTTTATAAGTAAGTACAGTATTTAGGTACAATAATTATACAGGTACCTATATAATATGTTATATGTATACATAATATATTATGTTTTAATATTAGTCTAAATGCCTAAAGATATTTAATTTTTTTTGTGCTTAAATTTCACATATATTGTCAAAACAATCCTTTTAGAAAAAATGTAGGGTTAGAAATTCTGCTAAAAAAAACAATTTATAAATTATTTTAAAATTAATTAAGATCACAAGTGTTGTGCATACTAGATGTATTGGTAAATCATCCGTCCTATTTTTCAATGGTGAATAAAGTGAGAATAGGTATCCAAGTCCGAAAATGGCATTATAAAAAAATTAATAACTACACATATTTTGACATAATTTATTCCATCTTTAAATTTAAATATATCTAAATAAATTGTACAACATATGATTCATATATATTATAATAAATATCTTAATCATATAAAAGTTATGTTAAACCACGTTTAAATCATAAATTGTTAAATTTTAAATTGAAAACTAATGTTTTTATTTTTTGGCTGCATAAATGCACCCATAAAATATTAACATATGACAATTTAAAACATTTATTTATACGTGTAGCAAAAAAAAAAAATCGAAATTTTACCAATTTTATAATAGAGTGAGGAAATATGTGTTGTTTAATGTGGGTATAATAAAATAAACATTGATAGCAGTTACATTATTTTTTGAGGAAGGTAAAACAAAACTGGTTTTTCTCGAAACCATTTGGGCAAAGTAACTGTTATTATACTCTAAATGCTATATTATACTAAACTATATTACATTTTTGCTTCACAATAAAACCATTTAATTGTGAACACTGTAATAAACACGTGTTTCATAAAATAGATTGATAATTATTAAAACTTCTATATTTAATACCTATATAATATACATAATATTATATATTTTTAGAATATATTTTGTTAAATAAAATAAAAATAGGTACCTATACTTTAAAGTTAGATCGTTATGTAGTTAGAGTGTCTGGTACAACTCATACAATATAGTATTAGTAATAAAATGCGCCTAACTACCTCTATACCAATAGTTATGTTAATATCAAAATTATTAATTTAATGTTTTAATATTAAACAGTTTTATACATTACATTTTAAATTTTAATTATGAACTACATTCAATGTTTTTAATATTAGAAAATAAAACTATACAAAATAAATTTATAAAAGAACCATCAGTTGTATTTATTATAGCATTACCTGTCACTTATAGTTAAATTGGAATTATAGTTAATAGTTTTTTACAATATTGACCGTATATTGAGACGTTAAATGTCAAATTAGTTGCTAATCTATTATTTTTTTTATTGCATTTCAAATATTTCCACGTAGGTTTTTTTTCTTTTCTCAATTCTTTTCAATGTTACGTTATAGCATGTTCCTCATCAGTGAGTTTCAATAAATGAGGGACAGCTATCATGTAATATGTATACATTCATGTAACCGGTAACTGCAGGTAGACATTTGTAGTTAAATACAATACGGTTACGATACTGTCGGTACCAACCATTGTGTACTTATGGGCGATTGTAAACTCCGCCAGAATAGCGGTTAGACAAAAACTTAATGAAAAGGTCTAATGCGAACTCCGACAGTTTAATTTCCTTACCTGTATAAAGGGTATATGGAAACTCTGCCAGTGTTAACACCTTCCTAATGTAAAACTAAATAATATATCTTAACATCTTAAACTCAAAATGAAGTTTAATTTAATTTAATTTTTATCTGTAAAAATAAAAAATAATTAATAAAAAATAATATTATCTGATGTAATATAATATTATTTGTCTAGGTCAAGTTGAAAAATAGTTTTTAAGTGTATTTGGTACTACAACTGTACATTGTTATTTTTTAGATTATTATTAGGTTATTATTAAGAATATTGCCTCCTAAATTGCTAGTAGTTATAGACTTTATGATGATAATATTGGTTTATACAAATTATGTTAACTATACACTTATAGATTTTGATATACTATAGTATCTTTTTATCTAAAAGTGACTATCTATAACTATAGTTAAACTATAACGGGTGTCGGGTTCCGATAAATTTATTTTTATTAAAATTCAAAGTAATCCGATGCCCAGGTTTATTATGCGATTTATAAATTCGCGATCATTAGGACTACCTATAGATGTACGCCTTTACCTACGTTGTAATGTTGTATAGATACGCACTATTTGAAATATAGATATAAATACGTTCTATAATTTATTATATTATATTAGGAGTATTAATATCGTCTAGAACATATGCCAAGACTGAATGATGATACTCAAAGATCTGGATTTTTCTACTACCTATTGCTAAAGTATATTTATTCAGTCAAACCCGTAGGCGCCACCGTCTGACAGTGCAGTTCTCCGTTAGATGACTGTAGAGATATTACAACTGCATGAAACATTGAATTGTACTTTGAACACTTGACGATAAATGTAAAAAGAAACAACGTTTTCAGAACATATTATAATCTTGAAACATTATACGTTATTTATACCAAGCTATACCTACCTGTAATAGATATACATAGGAATATGTACAACGTACAAAAATAAAGTACGTCAAATTCATCTGTCAAAACCTATTGAGACATAACGACAAGTTCAATACACGTGAGAAAACACATATCGAAATCGATTAACCCCTTCAAAATGTAAAAAACGCCAAGATCTGTTAGATGGACGTAACATTTTAGTCACGAAAACTCTCGACGAAGTCGTGAGTATCTATTGAATCTCAACAGCGGAGTGTGTAATATGCTCTGAATTCACAATTATTAATTGCATCGAATCGTTCTTATGATATATAATACATATTATAATATATACATAATACATAGGTATATTATGATACACGCATGCCCGTTATCTACACGATCTGATTAATTTTGCACATACCATAACGTCTCTTATCGAAACACGATTGTTCTAAGTCCTTTGATTAAATAGAAAAAACTATTTATTTTTTATTTCCTTGTCGGTCATCCTCATCCATCATCGTGCGCAATAAATTCGTTCAATGAATTAATGATTTCTGCAATAACATTTTCAACTTCAACCTGGGCCCTATGATGGGGAGTAGAAATAGTTTTGGGATTTGTTAGTGGTGGCCTTTTTTACTGACTAAATATTATTTTCAAAAAATCACCGGCTCTTTAGCTTCTATATCCCGCTTATTATTTGTTTGCACGTCTTAAAATGTCCTAAAAATTAGTTTTTAAGACTATTTTAAGCACGTTATTAACAGCAACTGTGGTCGCTTAGGCCCCGGTGCATATTATTATATGGTATCGTCTTCAGATAAACACACACACACACACACACACACACACACACACACACACACACACACACACACACATTTAACCATAGGAATAATATACACGTTATATTATAATGTATTGACGATGAATCTCAAGGCGTTCGGGGAATCGCGGAACATGCTCATGAAACTCCGCTAATATCTCTGCGAGCCGATCGATTTGGCGTGGTTATAGCGTACACCATAAACATTATATTACGTATACAAGTTCCGCGCGGGACAACTAACTATATTACAAACAGTCGTCGGCGGGTGAACGTGTTCGCAACGGTGGCGGCGGGGTGGACGTAACATGCGCGCTGGTGCCGGATTAAGACATTTATTGATGCAAAAGGTATTTTCTGCCCTTGCAACTAAATATCGTCGATAAAAATTAATTTTCTCAGTTTCCTTATCTATAAGTTCAAGTTCATGTTATATAAATACCTCTGTCATCATTATGGCGTGAAACATTACTGACAATTATATAAAGGTATCACTATTATTATACTCATCATTACTCGAATTACAAAAAACGTTTATGAATTCAAACACACAAATTAATTTTATTGTTTTTATTACTCACATGGCAAGGATAATATAGTTGATACAATACGATTACGATGAGCTACGTAAAGAATAAAATATGTACCTCTTATATTGATATTGAATACAACCAGCCAGTGCAGTTAAAATTTAAAAAGTATACTAACTTCATACACATTCCACATGTACAATTTAAACTCAACCTATCATATAGAAAAAAAAGAATAAAAACGGGACCACAAATTAAAAATTTTGTAAAACACAAAAAGTGAAGTATAACAACGCCCAAATTATATAGACACTTGCACCTGCGGATAACTGCCCTCTCTACCTGCAGCCTTCTACTCATCTGTTTCCTTATGGATTTATCGGATATGCCTGGCGATCGGTAGACTAAATGGCAGAGTATTATACAAGGAAATATAAAGACGTATCAATATAGGTATACTTGGTCATCCTTATTCAGCACTCGTCATCGTCATCGTCGTGTGTGGACATAATATATAGACATATAATACCCGAGGGCTAAGACATATTATTTACCAATTCATAATAATATAAGGCATCTTCTCTAATGAAATAGTTGTACATTTGCACCTACCAATTACCTATACATATAACATACCTAATATATATACATTTATGTTTTATTTTTATTATATATCTCTGTCCCTTACTCTCACTCTCCGATTCTTCTTATCCGCGACTTACACACGCGTTTGATTTAACACGTCGTGTTATAAATG